CAAATAATATTCTAAAAACAACCATAGAGTTTAGAATTTAAGTGGAATGATTCCTTGTGAGATAAATGAGTGTGGCCAAACCATTTTTCCCAGTCTTAGGATACTTTTCTAATTCAATCATTACTCTATATTTTAAAGATATTTCTCATCCACACAACTTCTGGGTCCCTACTGTAATGGCGAAAAGTCCAAATGGGATAAAAATCATGGATATGGGTACATGGCCTTGATGGAACTCCTGGGTGTGGGCCCAGGATCTTGATGGGACTCCTGGGTATAAGTACATGACCTTGATGGGACTCCTGGGTGTGGGCCCATGGCCTTGAGGGGCCTCCTGGGTGTAGGTCCACAACCTTGATTGGCCTCCTGGGTGTGGGTCCATGGGCCTTGATGAGGGTCCTGGGTGTGGGTCCACAACCTTGATGGGAGTCCTGGGTGTGGGTCCACGGCCTTGATGAGGGTCCTGGGTGTGGGTCCACAACCTTGATGGGAGTCCTGGGTGTGGGTCCACGGCCTTGATGGGAGTCCTGGGTGTGGGTCCATGGGCCTTGATGAGGGTCCTGGGTGTGGGTCCACGGCCTTGATGAGGGTCCTGGGTGTGGGTCCACGGCCTTGATGAGGGTACTGGGTGTGGGTCCATGGCCTTGATGAGGGTCCTGGGTGTGGGTCTATGGGCCTTGATGAGGGTCCTGGGTGTGGGTCCACAACCTTGATTGGCCTCCTGGGTGTGGGTCCATGACCTTGATGGGACTCCTGGGTGTGGGTCCATGGGCCTTGATGAGGGTCCTGGGTGTAGGTCCACAACCTTGATTGGCCTCCTGGGTGTGGGTCCACGACCTTGATGGAACTCCTGGGTGTGGGTCCATGGGCCTTTATGAGGGTCCTGGGTGTGGGTCCATGGCCTTGACCTTGATTGGCCTCCTGGGTGTGGGTCCATGACCTTGATGGGACTCCTGGGTGTGGGTCCATGGGCCTTGATGAGGGTCCTGGGTGTAGGTCCACAACCTTGATTGGCCTCCTGGGTGTGGGTCCACGACCTTGATGGAACTCCTGGGTGTGGGTCCATGGGCCTTTATGAGGGTCCTGGGTGTGGGTCCATGGGCCTTGATGAGGGTCCTGGGTGTGGGTGTATGACCTTGATGAGGGTTCTGGGTGTGGGTGTATGACCTTGATGAGGGTCCTGGGTGTGGGTCTATGACCTTGATGAGGGTCCTGGGTGTGGGTCTATAACCCTGACTGTCTTTTCACTCTTTTGTTCTCTCTCGTGTTCCTCAGAAATCTCTTTTAAAAATAATCTTCCTCCAGCTTACTTTTGCTTGATGTTTATGTATGTCTTTACAAGACCTATAAGAGTATTTTTGTAACTCCATTCCTAGAAGAGTGATTGTCATCTAACAGGTTATAAATATATTCTTTCAAAAATAGATCTATTTGTATGGCTATTTAACACTAAGACAGGTGACAGTGATGTTATCAAGAAAGTCAAATTCTATTTTAAAACATTAGTCTAGGACATAATGCTATAAATGAAATGAATCAAGTTTGAGAGCATTTCCTCAAATACTTTCTCCTGTGTTACACTGTTTACTTATAGGTACTACGAAAACAACTTTTCTTTTCTTGGATTTATTTTATGTTTTTGATGCAGGATATAGAGACTGGCGACTAAAGCCTAAGTTTTTTTTTGTTTTGTTTTGTTTTTAAGTGTTAGGGTTAGACCTAGGCTTAGGGGTAGGATAAGGATCAGGATTAGGTTTAGGTTAGTGCTAGGATTATGTTTAGATACAGGGTTAGGATTAAGGTTAGCATTAAAGTTCAGGTTAGGGTTATGACAGGTTTAGGGTTAGGGTTAGGGTTGTAGTTGTTTTTAGGGTTAGGACTGGTTAAGTGTTTAGATTAGGATTATGGATAGGATTAGGATTAGGTCTAGGTTTAGGTTCAGGATTAGGATTAGGGTTAGGCCATGGGTTAGCATTGTGTCTAGTGGTAGGTTAGGGTTAAGGTTATAGATTGGCATAGGATTAGGATTAGGGCTAGGGCTAGTTTTAGGAATAGGGCTAGGTCAACGGTTAATATTTGGGTTAGTGTTAGGGTTAGGTCTTAGGTTTGATTTAGAGGTGTGAATGATAGGGTTAGGTTAGGGCTAGGGTTAAAATCAGGTTTAGGGTTATGGCTAGGGCTGGGTCTATGGTATACATTTAGGTTGGGATTAGGGTTAGGGTTAAGGGTGTGTTTAGTCCTAGGGTTACATGTAGGTTGAGGCTAGGTATAAGATTATTCTTAGAGTTAGGGTGAGGTTTAGTTTTAGCTTTAGAGCAAGGGTTATGTTTAGATTAGTTGTAGGATAAGGGTCAGGATTAGGCTTAGGGTTAGGGCTAGGATTATGTTAAGCTATAGGGCTAGGTTTATAGTTAGGATTAGGTTTACAGTTAGGGCTAGGTTTAGGGTTATGAGTAAGGTTATGTTTAGGATTAGGATTACCTTAAGTTTGGGGTTAAGGTGAGGGTTAGGGTTAGGATTAGGGTTAGTGTTAGAGGTAAGGTTAGAGTTATTGCAGTTTGAGGTTAAGGATAGGACTACAGTTTTTTTTTAACTTTTACAAAAACTTTATTGAGAATTTCATACATGCATATAAGGTGTTTTTATTTAATATTTTTTTAAATTTTATTTTATTATTTTTATTTTATATGCATGAGTGTATTGCCTGCATGTATGTGAGTGCACCTGTGTTGTGCAATGCCGCGGAGGTCAGAAGGGGGTGTTGGATTCCCCTGGAACTGGAGTTAAGGATGGTTCGTAGTGGATGCTGGGAATCGAACCCGGGTCCTCTGCAAGAGCAGTCAGTGCTCTTAACTGCTGAGCCATCTCTCTAGCTCCTCATATAAGGTGTTTTAATCAAATCTACTCCCACTCCCTCCCCTCCAACATTCCCCCGTCTGAAGAGATAACCCTAAAATCTTTTAAGGATTAGATACAAGCTCCCAAATACCTTTGACGTTTTTGGCCTTTGGAACAGAGTATGTTGCTAATAGGCCCAAGGACATTTTGACTTTTAGCCCAGAAACTGGCTACATTTCTTTGGGGCCTTTATACCCTAACTGCCTAGCCCATTCCTACTTCTTATTCTTATCATGAGCCTAAGGTCTTATACATGCTAAGAACTTGAGGTACTGGTACTACTGAGATACATCCCCATCTCCTGGAAAAAGATTTTAAATGACTGCAAAGTAAATGTATACAGTTGTCATAGCCAAACTCAAGTATTTTCCCCACTCCCAAATGAACCAGGCTGACCCATGACCCATGACGGGGGACTAAGCCTCATGTCACATACTTTGCATTTAATAACACCAAGACTAGAAGTTGTGGATGTAGCTTATTTGATACAGAGCTAGTCTAAGAAAGGCCTGGGTTCAGTCCTCTACACTGTGCCTAAACTTTGGTGGCTCAGACTTAAAAGCCTAACATTCCATGCAAGTGGTAGAGGCAAAGAGATTAGACGTTCAAGACTATACTTGAATTTGTGGCCAGCCTGGGTTACTTGAGACCCTGTCAAATAGTGTCATGAATGTTTAATTCAGGTGGTACCAAAATATATCTCTTGATTCAACTATCCTTAGCTTAATTTTAGTGAATGGGCCTTTAAAATAAAAAAACAATGATGAGCCATAGTTATATTCATTTCATTTACTTGGAAATACACCAAAGCAACTAATAATTAACCGGGGACGCTCTGGCCTATTTAAAACCCTTTTGTAAATGGAGACTAAGTTTCCAGCATTCAAACATGAGAACCTGGTTGTTTTAACTGTGAATAAACTGATGCAGTTCACTTCTCTCCACCTTCATCCTCAGCAATGAAACGGGCGACAGCTCTCCACCCATCTTCCCATGGCTGAACGCTACGATTCTCCTTGCTGAATATTTTGAAGAAGCCATTCTATTTTTTTCATTCATGCTTTTTCCAAAGAATCCAATATATCTATAAAAGGACTGTACTATGTACCTTTTCTGAATAAATGGACTTTTAAGAACTTGGAGGCACAGAATGTCAGAAGGGCTGTAAAATATTAACGTCGTTAAGTCAAAAAGAAACACAAACCATGAAAGCGGACCCACGTGTTCAACAAGGTTTTCACGTTCAAAATTAAAAGGTGTCCTCTCTCAAAAAGCTCTGATATTCATTAGTATTATTTATTAGGCTGCTGAGAAAAGGGTAATGCTTTCTATGGTCATGAATGCTTAGTAATTCTGTCCAGCTGCTTGACAGGAGAGAGGAAGTAGAGTAAGCAAAGTGTGGTCAGGGATTGACCAGGGCTGTCTTTCCTCCTGGGCAAAAGCTGTTCCTTTCCCCACCGGGAGAATTGTTCAGTATCTGTTAACTGACAGTTTTACATATTTTCCCCAAAGCTCATTGTTAGACTTTTTAGCACACTAAACAGACCTGCCTCCGCCTTGCCCAGCTACCCGGATTCACTTTTCCGTCACTCCCATCAGAATCTACAGACTGAGGGACAACACAAACAAGATTTTAAGGTGGTCTGGCTTCCTACGTCACCATGAGATAGAAGTCACTCAGGGTGACTTCATAGACTTACACAGGTGCCAAGGATATGAGTGCAACCGATTATGACTAGTAACTATCAGATACATACAGATGAGAGATGCATGTGTCAACATCTCAGTGTTAGTAGCGAAAACAGTGAGCCTTTCTGTAAGAAACAATGTCTTACAGGGCTTATACTGAATTCAATATTGTATAACTGTATTGATTGAACAGTGAATCTAAAAATTTTATAGCCACTTTTGAGAGATGTATCTTTGCTCTGGAAACTGTTATTGATGTTATTGAGTATGTTAAAACTGTAATAAAATGCTTCTTCTGAAAAATAAATAAATAAATAAACAAATAAATAAATAAATAAACAAATAAAAACAAAGTCACCCAGAAACAAGTTAGGGAGCTTTACTCTGAAGGCACCTGAGCTAGGCACATGGACCTGGACTCCGATGGCTGTGATGTATTTCTAGGAAGGTTTCCCTTTGTGCAAAATAAAACAAGTCGGTGTTGAGAATCACAGTCCTGCTCCTTGCCTTAGGAGAAATCAGGTTTGCCTCTGGTCAGGATGTACATGGGAAGAAGCCAAGGAATAACCAAAGGTCACAGGTTTCTCACTGGGTCTGCAGTCCTCCCTGTAATGGGTGAAAGTTAGAACAGCTCCTGATAATCCAGTCTGGTACTTAAAACTGGACAGTGAGAGGAGGAAGTTCTACATCACCGAAGATGTGTAGGTGTCAAAGTTCTGTTTCATGATAATGGCTTGGTGTTGGGCCTCTTGACAGCTGCCTAGGGAGGTGTTGGAAGGTTCAGGTGGATCAGCTACAAATGTATTCAATTTACGTGGCAATCAGATGAGCTGACCACCACCCACTTCGTTGTCTCCTTCATTGGGAAAACCCTGAAACACAGCTTGAAGGGCCAAAGAAATCTTTTGAGGAAGTGATTTTGAATGAGTTCTAATGTATGAGGAAGACACCCAAACTAGAAAAAAAGACTGAACATCAGGTTGAAAGAAGCCAGGGTCTTTCAACGCTCCTTGGGAGGGTGGGAGAAATTAGGAGGAAAATGAAATTAGAGCAACCCGCAGAGAAAGGGAAACCAGAGGAAAAGCAGGAAGTGACACTGGACATACAGGAGATTGAAAAGAGAGGGAACAGTGAGATGAAGGAGAGCTTCTAGGAAGCTGCCACTGTTGTACGGAGCAAACAGGCGGTGTGAAGACCAGAGATCATTTTATTTTAGAGACAGAAAAAATATATCAGTTGAGACGTTAGTGCCTGTATTGCACTGTAGGACGGGGTCTCTTGTTAGAAGCTGTGTACCCCAGGTTCACCCGCCCACAGCTCAGGGAGATTCACCTGTCCTAAACTTTCACCTTTCACCTGACCCGAGGATCCGCCATAAATGTATGCTACCACATCTGAGTTTATGTAGACTACTGAAGATCTGAACTCGGGTCTTCATGGTTACACAGCTCTTTTCCCACAGAGGCCAACAGCAGGTTT